TTTTTTAAGACTTTTGGGTCTAAAGAGGGGGGGGTTGCTTATTTTAGGGGGTTGCTTATTATCGGGACTTTACGGTATTTATTTTCTGTATTTCTTGATAAAAAGTGTATTTGTAAAATATAGATATGATATGCGAATTGACGGTGAAACAGACCGTGGACCAACAGGTATAATTTATATTAATAGCTCTAAAATAATAATGATATTAAAAATAAATCATAACATTGAAATTTGATATTTACCCTCTTAAAAGTGCAATCATCACTCTACCATCACCACCCAGCACTCCCAATTCCGTTACGCAACGTCCACCAGATAGATCATGCCACATCCGGGTGTTACTGTCTTGCATTGACTTCGTCGTCAGCAAGTTTAGCTTGTGTTGCATTTATGGAACAACGTGTGCGAAAAACGTATTTAGCTATGGTTAGAGGTTGGATGGAAGAGGTTAGGTAGTAAGTATAAAAATATAATATATACGTATTAAGGTTTTTTAGTATTGAATAGGTGGTTTTTTCGAATTCGAATCCTTTAGGTATGTAGTAGAGCAACCAATAGCGCAGGTGATTGGAAATCGTTATAGAATGTGTCTTGGGAGTGTTGATAATCCGGGGAAGGTAGATAAATGAATCTTTGTATTGTTTGATTATTCGTTTTTTATGAAAACTAAAAATTCCTCAATAGACTGCAAAAACAGAGGTAGAAGTTTATCAACGCGGTTATTTCAATCTGGCATCTTATCCACCCATAAAATCAACGTCATCCTCTACAGGATCTTCGCTTACTCCTTCGTCTCAATCACAATCAAAGTCACTTTCTCCCACATCAATTCCCGTCTCGCTAGTTCGTCTAACCCCAACTACTGGAAGGCGTCATCAACTCCGTCTTCATTGTCAGTATCTCGGACATCCAATTGTGGGCGACTGGCATTACGAAAAAGAAATTATGAATTACACGGATACGTTTCGTATGATGTTACACGCGAAAAGATTGGTAATTCCACTTGATGGCGGTCGTGGAAAGAAACATAAAAGAAGTAATAACAAACTGACGAGTGAAAGTTTGGAAAGGAAAGAGGGGGATGTGTTGGACGTTGAGACTGATGATCCTTTTATTGGGTTGGTGGAGTTTTCTGAGAACGGGGAACAATAAGCTCGAGTTTTGACAATATGTTAATTTAATAGTGGTCGATGAAGATACAATAGTATAACAATAAATTCGCAATACATGTAATAAAAATTTTCCTTTTAAATCCATGCAATCTAACATAACGAAATGAAATTTGATCACATGCGAATAACATCAGGCTGAGTACATTTACTGCGTAATATTAACGTTACGTTAAGGCTTTACTTAGAGCATAATATATACTTTTTGTAAGAATTAAAACTTTACTTTAATTCATTGTGCTTTCAAGTAAACTTGTAATCCGTAATAAATACATGAAGCTACAATTTGGTGTAATTCCAAATCATGGTTGTCGTAATCAATGTTAAAATGAAGTACTGCGATGAATGTTTAAATAGAATTTTGGTCTAACGAAAATAAAGATATCAACAATCTAATAAGAGTGTATGGAATGGATCCTTTTACCAATGCTGAATATCTTGTAAAAGGAGATTTGGGATGAGTTTGCGATCAAATTTAAACAAAATGATGTCAGTATATTGTATATAGTTGAATTGAAATCACACAAATAAGCTTATCAAAATAGATTCAAATTGCTCTTATAGAATAACTAAAAACCCAGTCCAGTTACAAATGAATACGTCCTCGATATGCAAAAGGTAGTAATCTTTCAAATACAGTATATTATTTCCAATTACGAAAAATCGACTCGGGAACCCTGAAATATCATCAGCATCAGTGGTGTTCGAATTGGACTTCCCATTACAGCATCATGAGCAGACATTCATATGATTGGCTAATTTTTGTAAATCTACCCGTGATTTCCGTGATAATTAACCAATCAAAATTTATAATTTCAACTGATTAATTTATATGGATATTACAGTATTAAGCTAAAATTTAAGTACTGATACGATTTATGCAAATTTATAATAATGATAGAACTAAGAGTAATATACTGTAATTATTATATAATGAATAAAATTTTATTTAAATAAATAAATATTATTTTAATATATTCTAAACTTCCAAATTATTTTTTTTAATACAAATAGTTTATATTTTACCAATTTTATTTCTTCATTGTTATCAGAAGAAATGTTATTCTTTGATTTTTTCTTTTTTTTCTTATTCAAATCCTATAAACTTTCAAGTAAAGACTAAACATATTAATTGACTTTATCTTATAAAAATATAAGATAATACAAATACTTGAAATTATTACTAATATAGCAGGATTCATGATAAGAGTGACCAGCTAGAATTCTAATCAGGTTTGAATTAATAGAAAAAAAACAAGACAGTTGGTTAAATTATAATAACAAAATGGATTGAATTTATATAAATATTAAAATATAAAAAAAGATAAGATAAATATACTTCTAACATTTTCATTATAGTTAAAAAAATAGATAATTTATAATAAAATATATATATATATTTTAGAAAAATAATACATATAATAATTTTGATTAGATTATCTTTCTTTTAGATCTTTTTAGTTTAGATCTTTATTTTATGCTATCTGTATAATAGATTAACTTTATATTATATTTTCAAGAAGATTAATTTCATATTGAATATATAAATGATTATTATATATTTAATATATTAGATTTAGCATATTATTATGCAGATAATCACTATATATACCTGTATTATTAATTTAGATAATTAATATTTTTAATTAGATATTCTTTTTAATAATTCTTTATTTTCTTACTTATTCTTTA